TTTCTGGGTCATAAAAAAAAAAAAAAAAAAATTTAAATTAAAGCTAAATTTAAAAAAAAAATGAAAATACGAAGTCTTTAGGGTGTGTTTGCTATGACATAAGTCATTTTCTAGAAAATATTATCTGGTCATTGACTTATATTGTCGTGGAAAAAAACTTTATGGTATTTGGTTGGAGAGTGAAAAATACTTTCCGAAGAGAAAACATTTATTAAAGATTGATAATAACATTAGCAAACTGGATAGTGTCTCAAGGGAAGAATTATTACCAGGCTTGGTGGGAAATTCATGGCTGTTATTATGAGGTGGGAATGAATTACCAGGCTTGGTTGGAATTTCATGGCTGTTATTTAGAGCAGGGGAAGAGTTACTGGGAATTTCATGGCTGTTGTTTTGAGCAGGGAAAGAATTTCCAGGCTTGGTTGGAATATTTTCATGGCTGTTGTTTTGAGCAGGGAAAGAATTTCCAGGCTTGGTTGGAATATTTTCATGGCTGTTGTTTTGAGCAGGGAAAGAATTTCCAGGCTTGGTTGGAATATTTTCATGGCTGTTGTTTTGAGCAGGGAAAGAATTTCCAGGCTTGGTTGGAATATTTTCATGGCTGTTGTTTTGAGCAGGGAAAGAATTTCCAGGCTTGGTTGGAATATTTTCATGGCTGTTGTTTTGAGCAGGGAAAGAATTTCCAGGCTTGGTTGGAATATTTTCATGGCTGTTGTTTTGAGCAGGGAAAGAATTTCCAGGCTTGGTTGGAATATTTTCGTGGCTGTTGTTATGAGCAGGGAATGAATTACCAGGGTTAGTGGGAATGTTTTCATGGCTATTGTTATGAGCAGAGGAACAATCACAAGGGGGCTTGTAATGAGCATATGAAAACGAGAAAAACAGGCAGAAACAGAAGAATAGGGTAAGAGGAAGATGTGGGAACAACATATTTGGTCCTCTTTTTTTTATTTTTTATTATTTGGGTAATAAGTTTGTGTTATTCAAGTGAGGTCTGCTAACTAGCAAGAAAGCTATTTATAATATCCAGTTTAAATCTGTTTGAAATAAGAGGCTAATTTTGTAGAGGGCCTCCTTTGTTATAGAGAATCACAGGTAGTCATTCTTTTAGGCACTACCTACCAACAGACTACAACAAAATTTCATGGAGCTATGAATATGAGTTAAACTAGGATCTCTCTCTCTCTCTCTCTCTCTCTCTCTCTCTCTCTCTCTCTCATTATTGTGTATCCTTAAAAAAATAAAAAAATTGTAAGTTTGAGTTCCAATATTTTTGTTGTCATCAGAATGTGTTTGGTAGTGCACGTCTCATATTTAAGAAAAAACTGAAAAATCAACGTAAACCGAATCGATAAAAAATCGACTTAATTGGTTTGATTTGGTTCTAATATTTGAAAATCTGACTTACTTGGTTTGATTTCTTTTTAGAAAAAAATCAATCCAAATCGAAAAACCAACAATGACATGGAATTCAAAAAGCCAATTAAAAAATAAGTTCTCAATTAATATGAACTTGAAAGCAAATGAAAAGGCAACTCTAATCATTTATGTTGAAACTGTGAAACAGTAGGAAAAAAGAAGATCCAAGTCAAATTTCTTTCTTTATCTCTTTTTATCTATGTTATTGCACTTCATTTTGTTTTAAAAGTTTAGTTAATCTAGACTTGAGAGCAAATAGAAATTAGAATACCATTATGTTGAATCAATAAAAATATTCGCCAAATTGAAGCCTCATATCAATGATCCTTAAATCCTCATATAAGGCCCTTCGAGTATCAATAGAACAAAGATACTGTATACGTATACCTGGGGATTTGTAGCGTACATTTTTTGGTTGCACTCAAAAGGTCGGATAGTAAGTTTTGAGTCCGGAACCAAAATAATGTATTTTTTTGACTCAAGACACAAAAATAAGTGGAAAAAAGAGTTAGTGATCAAAATACATATAGCGCCCTTTTAAAGGGCACTATACCTTAACGATCGTTTGCCCGTTAAGGTATAGTGCCCTTTAAAAGGGCTTTATACTTGAATTTGATAAGACGGGAAAGTATAGCGCCGTTTATTAAGGCGCTATACATATTTTGTGGGCCCACCAATAATTATTCTGCGCTTAACTGACATAACAATAATTCAAATTGGTATAACGCCCTTATTTAAGTAGCTATACCTCAAAAAATTCGACCCCCCGTATTGGGCATTGCCTTATTTAAAGACGTTAAGGATTTTGTAAAAATCCATTCAGAAAAATTCTCAAGTCTTGTTAAATTTTTCTTCGTTAAGTTGTTTTACATTTTGTCATAATGTCTGAAGAGCGAAGAATTAGGGTTT